GATTTAAAAAATATTTTTTAATATATTTTATATATTATTTTAATAACAGAGTTATATATATGTGTGTGTGTGTGTGTGCGTGTGTGTGTGTGTGTGTGTGTGTGTGTGTGTGTGTGTGTGTGTGTGTGTGTATCAGGATCTTGCATAAGTTCTCGCTGATTTTTCGTGAAAATTAAAAAAAGTCGTAAAAAATATATTACTGAAAGTATTATCCATCGCTAGCCACTACTTTTTCCCATATTTCTGGCAACATTTGAATTCCACGTCGGAAAAACGACACGTCTTTTGAGGCTATCCAAGAGTCGACCCATTTTTTGACTCCTTCATAAGAATGGAAGTGCTACTCAGCCAGGTCATGTGCTATCAATCGAAACAAGTGATGATCGGAAGGGACAATGTCTGGTGAATACGGCGGGTGGGGTAGGACTTCCCATTTAAGCGTTTCCAAGTAGGTTTTCACCGGTTGTGCAACATATGGCCGAGCGTTGTCATGTTGCAAAATCACTTTGTCGTGTCTCTGCTCGTACAGCGGCCGTTTTTCCTTCAATGCTCGGCTCAAACGCATCAATTGTAGTCGATAGCGATCTCCAGTGATGGTTTCCTTCGGTTTTAACAGCTCATAATAAACTACACCCAGCTGATCCCACCAAATGCAGAGCAGAAACTTCGAACCATGGATATTCGGCTTTATCTTCAACATCAAAATCATTATTTTTGAAGCGTCTAAACAAATCACTGCATGTTGTTTTCGACAGAGCATGGTCGCCATAAGTCTCAACAAGTATTCTGTGTGCTTCAGCTGCCGATTTTTTTTTAATAAAGTAGTGCAGTAAAATTCCCCGCAAATACTCTTTTTTGGCACGAAACTCGACATGTTTAACACTATGAAAAAAAAAGTTATTTACACTTCGGCGAAATGACATACACTGAATTTCAAGCTTGCTTGTACTTCCTTGTAGATGCTTTACCATCTTAAACTACACGCACGCAGTTCTAGTAACGCCATCTGTTGGAAAACAGCGAGAACTTATTCAAGGTCCTGATATATAT